ACAGAGCCACGTACTTTACTTTCACGTACAGTACTTTTCATTATCGTTAAGCCCTTTGTTGTTGTTAGCGACGTTTCCGTCGTGGTTTGCTAAAGCTCCCTTTAGCCGGTTTCTCATCTGCTCCGGAATTCCGTCGCCAGCACAGCTAGAGTACTCTCAACGAATTTAATCCTATCTCAAGCTTCACTGGCGAAAGTTGACTGCGCAGGCGCTGTGCAAAAAAGTCACGTTGTCGCTGTTGACCAATCAGACACTTTTAACCAGCGAAAATCTCATGCAGTTTGCCAGCGACGACATCGCAGGTATTGCAGAGGCTTAGACGGGATGACTCCATAAGCTTACATTGTTCTCCCTTTGAGGTCCTATAATTATACTGTAACGATTCATTGTCCAATTTCTCCTTACTATTAAATTGATAATAGCCTTCCTCCAAACTCTTATAGTAAAGGCACGAGTGAGAGACTGGTACAGAGGACAAAAAGGTGACTGAGTCGGGTGGGGGACGGGAAGAAAGGAAAGGAAGAGTTGCCAACTCCGCTTTTCGCCTCGAGCAGAGGAGAGAGACCAGGAACTGCCTGCGGAGGAGGCAACTAACACGTTGAAAGAAATCAGCTTGGGACTGTTATTATTATATCATATGAGTTTCTAATAGGCCAAAATTCTAACTTGGCTCCGAGGGTTAGGGGAATAAAACAAAAGAAATGATTTATTCATCCTTCAACCTCCATGTGATTTAGTTTCGATTTCTTTTGCTTTATTTCCCTAAGCCTCGGAGGCCAAGTTAGAATTTTAATATATCGAAATTGGTCTATCCCTGTCTACTTAATTTTTTTTTTGTAGGTTCAAGATCATCGTGATGAAAATTACAATCCTTCCCCGGGCTTCACCACAGCAGTTCCAAAAATCTTCACCATCTTGGTTTTTCAGAACGCCGACGTGGCTGGCTTGCTGGACACTGTAAAGCTTCCAAAACAAGTGTCACGAGCTTCCACTGTACAACGAGAGCCGTGCGCTATTGATAAACACTGTAGAAAGTTATTTCCTTTGGCGTACGTGTTGTTCATTTCAATCTACTTTGCAGTTTACTTCCTTGCAGACAATTTGAGATTATGGCGTCTATTTTATTTATATAAGCGCGTGTATTTTATGCTCCGACGAAGGGCTAACGCTCGAAACGTCAGCTTTTAGAAATTCGCTACGGCGGTTAATTTACCTTTATCAACTCTGAGTTGATAATCAACATAGTGTTTCACTTGCCCGCCGACGCAGCACCACAGTTTCATTAGAAACTAATCACTTTGTATTTTATTATATGCCTGGACAAGATGAAGGAAGCGAAAATCGCGAACTTTGCTAACGGGATGGGCGTTCCGTCTTCAGTCAGCGAGTCAGTGAGTCAGTCAGTCAGACAGTCAGACAGTCAGACAGTCTGACAGTCAGACAGTCAGACAGACACATCAGTCAGGGGTAAGGCAGTCAGTCAGACAGTTAGACAGACAATAAGGCAGTCAGTCAGTCAGTAAGTCACTCAGACAGACAGACAGACAGACACGTCAATCAGGGGTCAGTCAGTTAGACAGACAAAAGGGCAGTCAGTCAATCAGTCAGTCCCGTCAGTCAGTCTGTCTGTCTGTCTGTCTGTCTGTCATCCAGTCTGCCGTAAAAGTTGGATTGAGTGGAAGTTGTGAAAATTCGTCCCACTGTTGTATTGACAACGATGTCACGAGAACACCATAAAAATATAGCTTTGAAATGTTCATCAGAAAGGCCTCAAGAGGCCTCTTTTCACAGATTCTCTACTGGCTAAACCCATAGAATGATGTTTAGTTAGTTTCGTGTTACATTAAGACAAATAAACGGCTTTTGTGTTTTTCAGTGAATTTTGATGAAATGATCGTTAGTTGTGTATTTATAGTACGTCCGAGTCAGTACCTGTAAAATAATAAAGCCCCGCCAAAGATTTTATGACTTGTTTGAGAACTTTAGCGCTTCCTTTCACTACCCATGATTATTTCTAGTAATGTATTAGTTTATATAGGTTTTTTCACATTGTATATATATCGCTTTCATCTTAGGCTGCATGCAGTAATGAGCGTGGGCCCTCATTTTCCCGAAAAGCGGCTGGTATTCAAGGCTATGGCCAACACTACGAAATGTGTCCTTTAACTTAAGATCAAGTGAGCGCGAGAATTCAAATCGGCCAGCTGAAATTAAATTATTGTACTTTGAGTCTGAAAAATGCAGAACTTCATTTTCAGAGGGCTTTTGTTATTGTAGAACTGCTCAAACCAAAGTCAGCATAAATTAGTGTCAAATTTCCATTATTGCGCGGGGGTCCCCATATCTCCCAGGAAATTAAATATTTTGACCTATTGTTTTGTCATAATTAGTTACTCATAACACCCAACATTTGTGTCAAGTTTGAGCCAAAGCGGTGTTTATCTCCAAAGTCCAAAGTTGTTTCTTTTTACCCGAAATTTAGCCTTTCATCCGTCTAGAAAGGCGTCCTTTCCCCACAGGAGCGAGACTGGACCGTGGCATATGAAGATCCATATGAATCATAACCTGCGATCAGGCCCTTCTCTCTTCGCGCTCTCGTTCTCTCCGCGAAAAGAAAGAAAAGGAAAAAGAACGTCTGATCGCAGGTTATATGAATCATCTCATCTCAACCATCTCTCAACCACGATCCCAGCCTCTCTCTCCTTTTCCTGGGGTCGAGGTTGGCATTATCTGACGGAGGCGACATCGGCTAATTCTCAGTCCCTTCTCCTCCCCTTTGCGTAGATTTTTAGTTTAAATCAAACTAAAAAGTCTTCTATTAAATTATTGACATAAACGTGGAAACAGAAGAAAGATTCGTTGTATTGTCTGAATTCAAAGGAGTTTTGTTTTACTTTTCTAAGTATTAAATGAAATAAAACTGATATAAAACCCATGAATATCATTACTGCACTGTAATGGTTTCTTTATTGTTTCAAAAATAAAACACAAAACAGAACAACTTGATTAGGAAAATCAACTTAGCTTGGTTACTTTTGTCCCTGATCAATCTACTGTTTCACTATAAATTACTACACCGGCCAGCTGAGTAAATAAACATATCTTCTAGTTCTATGGTTATCGGTTTGTTTTTAGCAAAGTAAACGAATTATATTTTCTACGGTTCGTTTGTAGCCTGTTGTGTAATCTTAGTCTCCCTGGTTTCAGCACGCGTACGCACACTGTACATGATTTTAAAATGTTATTCGTTCACAACTCATAGATTTGCCGCGGTATGACATGAGATATCAGGCCAGGTTAGTTCTTTCATTTTTAACAAGAAAAAAGTGGACTAAATATATCCTGGTTTTAATTTTCGTTGTAACACCTTGAACAATGAAAGATCTAATCAAATCTTACATATGGTACGAGTATTTAATGTTTAACAATACCAGATAGACTAAGCCGGATTAAAATCCGGTCAAAACGTACTTAATGTCTGCCCATAGTGTGAAATAGCAATAACTGAAACGAAGGGGAAAATCTAATAAAAAAACGATCCCTATAAGGTGTGTAGCATGTCTCCTTATTCCGTCCAGAAAGCACGGTCTTCTTCAGGAGTTCCTCTTCTCTAGCTAAAAGACAAAAATGTTCAAGCAAGCAACCGTGGACGACAATCCTGTTGGTACACGTTGGACCAAGTAGTGATCTTAGAAGCAGAGACCGATACAACGTAGATGTTTTTGAGTTTTAGGTAAAACAGCCAGAACAGTTGAACCTCGTGGCCTTAACATCCAAGAAGAAACATATTGATGTTTCGTTTCCTTTTATTATTTCATGTTGTTTACTGTCAATCTATGCTATCTGTCTGACGTATTTCCGTTATTGCGCAAAAAAAACTGTTAGCCGGCTGCAATATAACACGTAAATTTTCCTGAATTGTACCTGAAGAAGACTGGTTTGGTCAGTTGACATGTAATACTTAAAACTCAAAAAAATCTACGTTGTATCGGTCTCCTGCTTCTACAGTATATTTTTCTTTAACTAAGTATTGGAAATAATTATATTCCTTCCTTATATGACACGCGTTAAGTTCAGAGCTAGAAATATCTTCATTCAAGCTAACTAGGCTCCAGGCGCGTGGGCCGAAGACCTATAACCCATCTTAAGGTTTTCTGTAGTTATTTAGATCATTGCGTTTTACTTTGCCAACTTAGTGAAATGCCAAAAATGTCATTTATTTTTGTTATTGAAAGCGATTTTAATTGGTGTTGTGGTCTTTACGGTAAAATCATTCCTTTTCCCCATTCATTTCCCAGAATACATCATGCCTCCGCACCAAGCATGCGCACTCGCCTTCCTGTCAATATTTGTGTCAATCGCCGCTGGTCTGGATGATTGCATCACTGTCTCCTCCATCAAAGACTACTCTCTGATTGGTCACGCTTTCAAGACAACATCCGGGAAATCCCTTATGACGTGGCATCATCTCATGTGACCAGGACACGAAACTGTTACAGCTTCAATTACAAGTTTCCCGCCAAAAGCTGCGAGTTGAACAACGTGGCTCGATATCTTCATCTTCATGAATTTGTCTTTTCACCCGATGCTGTATATTTTGACCACCCGACCCGTCCCTCGGGATCTTGTTCGGGTGACTGGCCGTGTAAAAACAAGGGCAAGTGTGTGGAAACGCGGCGAGAGCCCCAGGATTTAAGTGCGAATGCCAGTATGACTACATAGGAGATACCTGTGAAGGTAATATCACAAATGAAATAAATTATACAAGAGAGGATGATCTAAGAGAAGCATTCCCCCATACATGGGTCTCCTTCAATGATAATTTTTTGAAATCTATATATTTTTAATTTTCCAGTCCTAGCTTGAGCTATTTTAAGAGCGCTACCTGATTGTTCAGTTCGAGTGACACAGATTTGACATTATTGAGCCTTGCAGTATGGCAGGACATATTGTCACGTATGAACCTAGTTGTATGGCCTTAATTGCTCACCATGAGTCCTCCTAGCTTAGCTCAGTGGTTAGAGCGTCCAAACGGCACCTGGAAGGTCATGGGTTCGATTCCCGTTGCCCCAGGGAGCTCAGAATTTTTTTTCTGAGTATTTCGACTTGAGAGCATTTCTTCATTGAGACAAGGTGTTGAGCACAGCCAGTATGATCTTACCAGTTATAATATTATGGCTTAGTTTGCAGTTCGCCACCATTGGGAATGACAAGATGGCCGGATCCTAAACCATCAACTAGCATCCTCATCAGAAGGAATGTGGCTGAATCTTAAGTTTTTTAAGGCCAAAAGATGCCAAGATTAAGGCTCAAGTCACTTTCCTGGGTCAGCGGTCTTTTGGATTCCAATCCATGGTTACAAGTCAATTTTGCGCCCGAAATCAAAACTTATCAGCGGTGTCGCTACTCAGGGAAACCCATCACATAGCTGGTGGGACTACGAGTTACACTCTGAAGCATAGCATGACGGGTAAAACATGGCGGGATTACGAAAAAGAAGGGTTTACAGAGGTAAATAAATCCTGATATTTACTGTCAAGGCAGCCGAAGTAAATAAAGAGTGAACAACATCTAATTCGGGTTCCTTACAATATTAAACTTTTGAATGCAGAAGACCACACAACTGGTAGTAAATAAAACCGCTGTTTTAGAAATAACAGAAACTAGTCTTCCTCCGGGCTATAAATGTAGTAATAATATAGCCCTGGCCCTTCTGCTATAGTCAAAATATCGGGCCAATAAATCTGCCCTTTGCCGTGGTGCCAGCGCGCCTTGTAATCAATTTGTTTCATTAAAAAAAGTGTCCCCAATTAGTAGTCCACTTGTGGTCAGCTGACTTGACACTTTAATAAAGTTATTGATTGATTGATTGATTGATTGATACATTGTCAAGACCCAAGATAACGGGCTGCAAAGGAGACTGTATTTTTCCTTTGACCACTGACGATTTGCATGAATCATCATATAGATGGAGGCAAATGGTAAATGTAAATGTAAACAGACAGCGGATAACGAGAATAAAGAATACTTAACGCTGAGTTATGAAGGTCACTGGGAGCTGGTAATGTTGACTATGCAGGCCAAAAACTAAAAAACATTATCAGAAAAGCGCCCTTTGTAGGTTGTTAATCACGTGATCATTTATTTCTCGGTTGCAGGTGTTCCTGGCAAATACAGACGGCAATACAGTTGTGAAACATACGATCTCTCCACCCATCAAGGCCCTCATTTATTCGTGTTGTTCCTTTTACTAAATACTACCGTTCTGCTTTGCGAATCGAACTGTATGGCTGCGATTTCATTAATGACTAAATAGAATAGAACACGTGGTTGTTTTAGTATTTTTCCTTATAAAAAGCTGAGTGGTTTAGAATCAGTTTAGCGATCAATATGTAAGGCTTTTACACGAGTACCATCCGCAGTTTAAATCGTTCGATCAAGGCCGCTTTCCAATTTCCGGTTAGGACTGAGAGCATGCGTCATCTTCGACAAATCATCGTAGACATACCCGAAGTCTTGCCGATTCTTTTCTGTCCAATCAGAAACAGCACCCCGAAAGCCACCTGTTGTTACGTCAGCTTGTCGGTGTATGACTTCGTCATGTTGCCTAGCAACACAACCGCGGGCTTAGGTCCCGTTTACACGAACACGGTTTCATTTCATCAATGTGGCAACCGTGTAATTTTGAAAACGTTGTCCAAAGTGGAGCGTTTTCAAAAAGATACGGTTTCGTATACGAGCTAGTGTCGTGTAAACGGGGTAACCCACGTGTAGATTTGAAAACGGCTGACATTCGACCGCATTCCTACCCCACGTAAAATTGTAGTTATTTATGCATAGTTACCACAAAATAATTATCGCTCAAGGATGGTTAATAAACTATGTTTAAACACACTTTGACCCCGGCCTATATTTACAGTGTGATATTTAGTGTGATAGTTAATGTAACATTTTTGATTGAGACTGCATGTCCAGCCAAGCAGCTGACCAAGTACCAACTGAATATAACTGCAACTAAGGGGATATTTTTGGCCTCGTGTTGTCATGGAAATCGGCCCGATTGCGGCGGCCGGAGCAAAACGTTCAGGGGCGGATCCAGGATTTTTTGATAGGAGGGGGGGGGGGGGGGGGGGGGGGGGGGGGGGGGTCCCAGGGTTTTCCCGAAAATGTGAAGTAGATTGAAGGATAAGTTTTGTTTGGGGGGTCTCCCCCAGAAAAAATTGAGATTTCAGGCTCTGAAAAAGTGCATTTTGGTGGATCCTAGAGATGGTTTTGCTATGGATAATGGTGAAAGCAAAAAACCCCTAAGGACTGATAGGGGTCCGGACCCCCCCGACCCTCCCCCTGGATCCGCCACTGAGTCGTTTGTAGCGATTTTTCATGTTTATTATTAATTTTTAGCGTTAAAATCGCAGCGTGTATATCGCACTTTAGCGTCACAGGAAGCTCAGAAGCACCAGGGAGATTTTAAGGATATAAACTTCGTGGACTTGATTATAATGATTCGTACTAAAGAACGGGTTGCAATGTCGTAACTGACTTGCCAATGACTATCACATCACACCTCTCCTGATCCTGTAACTAAACTTGTAAAATACAACTCGCTTATTTTCAGTTCTGTACGTGTTATAAAACGTCACGAGTCCAGGTCATTTTATGATATTGCATTATTTATAACACACTACACTGTTAGATATTGCAGAGAACACATACCGCCCACAATGCGGTCTGATCGAAACGATAGAAAACCGAAATCTAACCTGTGCGATAGATTTCATTGCTCTGAAAAGCACGAAATTATTATATCAATGACGTATATATATCGTGCGTTAGTTAAAGAAATTTAAATTTCACCAAATATCACTTTAATTAATCGGAGTGCCAGTATCAGTAAATCCTTTATCTTTTACATCTTTATTTCGTCCCTTTTATTGAAATATTCTCGCTAGCCACAAAAGATGTACGGGACAGATTACTGTCAGGATTATTTAGAAGCTTTCTTGAAACTATCTTTTTTCAGGCTTTGTGAATGAAGAATTTTTTTTTCCTGAATGAAAGGGGAAAAAATATCAAGCAGGAACAGAAAGCGCGGGAAAATAAGATAAACCGGAAATTAAATCAAGTTGTTACCGGAAGCCGCTATCCAATCAAAATTTACATTTTGGGGTCATGTGACAAGTATGGCTTCGACATGGCGGCTGGTGTGAGCTTATGTGATGTACGGATTGAAGAAAACGCTCAAAATTAGAATAGGTATGTCCATAAAAACATAACAAATACACTCAGGAATTGCTCTACATTAACTGTGTAATTTTCCAGGGGAAGCCAAAAATCTGCAAGCGAGGAAAGAACCGAGAAATTCACGTAACTGTTATTGTATCGTGCGACTGGATCAAGAAGAAGTATTTAGGACATCCACAGTGGAAAAAACTTTATGGTGAGTTCTCCTTATAAATTTTGCATTCCCTTAAACGCCCTTATATTGTAATTATTTTACAGAACCATGAAATGAAAATGTCGTATTTATATGCGTCTAAATTACAACGCTATAATTTTTTCTCCTGCGAACTCGGAGAGATTACCATTTTATTTGAAAGTCTAATTTCATAAACGAAGTTGTGTGTATTTTATAGTGTGAACTTAAAATTTTTATGTACTTTGTTGTCAATATTTGAGCCTTGAAACTTTTGTTTTAGATTTTTATCCTGTTTTATGGGGAAGAACTTCAAGTGATTTTTCCTGGTTTGAAATGAAGAAAATGAACTCAAATCTCGTTTAAACGACAGTGTTATTTGATTAAGCTTGCGTTTAACAGCTACTTTCAAAGTGTGTCATAAATAGTACGTGAGGCTAACTCGGAAAGAAAAGGGATCGTTTGAAATTTGTTTTGATCTTAATTTGTGATTGAAATGCCGCTTTCTTTTACTTTAGATTTTACCGGCGTCTATGCAATACAATTACGATTTGATCGTAAATCAAACTTTATTTATATACAACACAAGTCACTGTTTTGAGCATTTATACTCCTAGCTTGTACCATAAGCTTAATTTATTTCTCTCTCCAAATTTAAGTGAGTATTGTGTTTATTTTTGCTTGAAGTGTGTTCATTAAATCTTAAGATTTTGGGGTATGTCAAGTTTGATATTCAAACTAATTGGTTTAAGTATATTTTCTATTTTATTTTGTGATCATTCAAATTGTTTCAAGATATATCTTGTTATAAGGTACCTTATAGAAATTTTCCTTCTTCTATATTAACTTTAATAATACTTACACATGTATGTAATTGTTCAATGTTTTGAAATAGCTTAAATATGTACAATTTCTCACCCGCTAATGTTATTTTATTAATGTGTGGTAATTAATAAGAGACACATTTCTAAAGGTGATGACCGGCTATTGAAATCCTGAACAATTTTATTTTACACTAATATAAATAATTAATTGTGCACCTTTGTGAAAGACCAAATATCATTGTTGATGACAACGTTTATGTGTCCAATTATGTGAAACTTGATAAATTGAAAATAAAAGAATGTTTCAAAAATTATGTTGAAGGGGCCGGTGAGGACAAGGTCCTGTATTGCTTATCAGCATTTCAAAACATTGTTTCTCTGTGTCTATTGCTGTTAGAAAACGGAAGGTCAACATTGGTGACAATATTGTAACAAATTCAACCTAGTTATATGGCTTTAGCTCCCACGAGTCTCCTGTAGCTCAGTGGTAGAGCGTCCGACCGGTGTGCGGAAGGTCATAGGTTCAACTCCTGTTGCTTGTATCACTGACAGAATAATATCTCTCTCAAAAAAATATACCATCATTTCTTTCCACAAATGCAAGCAGTGTTTCTGCAGTGCCAATATTAATGAAGCTTCTCCCAAACATGGAGAAAAGTTGTCCCTGGTAGTAGTGTTACCCTCCTCCTCGAGCCAAATTTACTGAGCTAAAAAAATTGCCCGTGCTGACTGAGCCAAATCGTGGCTCTCACAGTTTTGAATTCAAGAGACTGGGGAGAGTTGTTCCAAAATATCCAATGTGGCAGACATAAGGAAGATTGGCTGAGCGATTTTGGTT